CAGTAATGCAGTACCAATTGAAACCTGCTTTTTGATTGCTCCTTAAGTACAGCACCACTATTGTTAGGTTAGGTTATGTTATATTGTTGGAAGACTTATCTATTGTTTGTCCATTGTTTTCTCAACCTATCATGAGACCCGTTCCGAGCAGTGCTACCTGGCTCCTGTGTCTAGCTATGGACTATCTCGGCATATATGTGAGCTCTCAGATTATTGGAGGTATCTGTGCAATGAGGGTGTCTAGCTATGGACTATCTCTGCATATATGTGAGCTCTCAGGTTATTGGAGGTATCTGCGCAATGAGAGTGTCTGTTTATGGGCTGTTCTAGCTATGGACTATCTCTGCATATATGTGAGCTCTCAGGTTATTGGAGGTATCTGCGCAATGAGAGTGTCTGTTTATGGGCTGTCTCATGTGTATGTATGAAAAATGTCTGCTTTTTTGTGGCATAAGGGACAGGCGAGAATGACAGTCAAGCTGTCTCCTCATTTGGAGCTTGGGATTTCTAGCCATTGATGGAAGGCTTAAGGTCATGGGAGAGATTTCAATGATGGTCACAGTGCATTATCTCCTGGTAGTACTGTGCGAGAAGAATCCAARGAGGTAGAGACTTTTGCTATTGTAAATTGTTTGCTTCCCGATTTTAACCTTTAAATAAATCAATTGCCACTAGCGAGCTAATCCGGCAATGGGGCGGCCAGCGATGTACTGTAAGTCCTGTAATACTGATAAAACAAGAACATGTGAGTGATGATCTACTCACAGTTACTTTGTTCTTTTTTGGCCATGTCACAACGCCAAGAATTCCAGTTACGATAAGCTGTTAAAAGAACACGTACCCATGAGAAACACATGAAACTGTTGTGACAAAAATATACAATTCCATTAACGTTCAGTTCAGTTGTAAAGACGCAAAGATAACAACAAAGTCATTTTCAGATATCATAATTGTTTTTTTTTTGCAAGATTATTCAACCTCAAGTTCCAAAACGTTATGACAATATTAATAACATTTAACTTGCAAGCATGATATTAAATTTTGAATCAAAATTCTGCGCGGGGATTGCGATAAAACATTTTATGCAGTGACTTATTTGTCTTCACAAACGAACAACAGTAATGCGATTGACTGTATAAAACGTTTGCCCTTATTATTAGTCAGATTGAAAAGAGAATATGCTAGCAAGAGAGTGTGTTTATGTAGTGCTAGTCACGGAAGGAAACTTTAATATCAAATATTGGCATATGTACATCAAAGTTGGCTTATTTTCACTGTCATTTTGCAGAAAATAGCTGGTCAACTTTGTTGGACTATGAAGTCAAAATGTGAATCCACAACGTAATCATAATTTTATTTTACATTAGTAACATCACTTAAGTCTTCCCAGAAAAAACCTTTATTCAATGAAGCCACTTTTCGGAAGTTTCTTTTTGCGACAGCGATAGTAAAGTTTCATTACGTAATTGTTACTTAGCAACAGCAAGTATCTTTCTGTGGATATTTGCATGACATTTCCCTCTCTTCAAGCACTGAGTTCTATTTATTTCTATTATCTTCTTTTGAAACTWGAAAACGTCTTTCTAAAGTTAATTYCCGTAATTATRTAACGATGGAGTATGCTTATATACTAAAATCGCAACTGTGTAAACGAATAAACTAAAGTTTAAAATGCTTTTATTTACATAAGACTTTTATTTGGGTATCTTTAGTGATGACAATCGTGAATGGACAATTAAATTGAAGTTAACAATCCAAAAAACAGCTGTATACATAAAGATTCGTTGTGATTTCGTTTCTCAACGTTTTTGTATCGAATCATGTGACATAACACCGACTATGAGTTCAATTTTTATACGTATTTGCATGTATTAGTGAAATGATTTTATTTCGTTTTAGATGTATTTTTTTCTCCTCATCGTCGATATACCTTCGCAAGTAATGAACAATACTAGTTGAGCTATATCTTTGACGACAATATGGGTCATTCTCTACTTTGATTATGCTGACATATAGAAAAAAACGACCTATCTTGACTTTCTCTTTTTAGTGAAAAAAGTGTAACTTTCTGGTAAATTCAGAGTGAAAGCTTGTAGTATAGTGAAGAAGAAAAACGTCATTTGTGACAATATGCAATGAAACKTTCTAGGGTTCCTGCTGACTGCGATGTTTACTTACCAGCAAACCACACCAAATGCCTTGCGCGTCTGAACCACCATACGTTACCCATACGATACCGCATATAAAATCAATGAAGGCRACGATYAGGATCAAAATGCCGACTATRCCGGCTGATTTGGCATGACCTGGAGCGATAAGTTCTCCCATATTCAACGTTTWCTACTTCACTTGTAGCTGGAAAAGGATTTTACGATATGTTCGATATGGTCCAGTACATTGAATATGCAAATTATACACCTTGCTTCTACCTAGTGTTCTGTCACCATAGTGATGACGTAAACAATTGTAAATACACTTCCCATGACAGCCAATAACTGAAAAGTTCATTGAATTGATGGTGTAAGTATTTTCAATGATGGCACAATATCAATCAGACATAAAGCGTTTTTTTACGAATKAAATGACGTCATTAAACTGAAGTGAGTGGGTATACGTTTTTTGTTCTTTCAARAGACTACACTCAAATTACAAGAGATACGATTTCTTTATTCTATATATTTCTACGACAGTCGTATTCTACAAGTTCATTTTAGATGAATTAGGGATGTGGGATACAGTTTTCGCAATATTAACATTACGATGTTAATCTGGAAAACAAACGTTATTTTACGCTTTTAACTCTGAGCAAACGAAACGTTATAAGTTTTGAATTAATTCTAGTTGCCCATTACAGAGTAAAGCCCCAAACGGTTTAAATTAGTCCGTGCTGGGAGGACATCAAACCTTTGACGCAAATTCTAACAGGCTTGATCTAACAGTCAATTATAATAAACTTCTCTTGCGTCTTATTATGCCCGAAATAGATGATATTTCATAGGTATTATTTTTCGGCCGCATTTTTGTTATCATATTTTATGGCAAGCTCACTCGCCACCTTGAAAGGAAGCTTTTACTTTGCATTATTCAAGCGAGATTGAAGCAGACTTTCATTGAATGTCCTAATCGTGAAAAGGCAATMTGTGATTGAAATTCGCTCTTGGAGCGATCCTTCATATAATAGGTTCTCTATCAAGTATTAAACTGTCCACAGTCTGTTATTTCAAATGATAGCTTTCACTATGACAGAAAATAAGCGTATATACTTACTTCGCTAATCAAGGCCTAAAGAAGAAACAGTTGWGAAGTAAGATAAAATTCAAAGAAGGTTTTTCATGTAAAATTTCATTGGATCATCATAACTCAGCGAGATTTTTTTCAGAATTCTCGGCAAATTTGGCATAATTAAGAGTTTTTGAATAATACTCTTTTCACAGGCAAAAAACTGTTTTCATGTCATATATGATCTTTAAAGTCAACCTACTCATCTTTGCACAAGTTGGTATAGCAAAGTTATAGTGCTTAGAAGGCACATGGCGTTATAAGGACAGCATGGACTCTATTGAGTTCATTTAACACAATCGTAGGGAACACGCAAAGCCCTAACCTGAGTATCAGGCCTTCGAGGGGGCCTGTTCCGTTTTCCCTCCTTGAGAGCCTGATACTCTATCAAAGCACCTGCCATTAATCGTTGGATTTTTCTTGATTTCCCGTCGTCGCCCAATTCTTTAAGGAATCCAAAGTACTTACAGTCTCAATAGCGAGGATTGTTTGATAACGGATAAATAGGTAACTTTCCATCGTTCAAACTTCTGTGGTTTTCCAACAATTAATTATAGACAATGTTTCAATGTTTACTGAATTATAAAGGCGGCCGATAGAGTGAATATTACAGGGCTGCTTCATAAAAGACGCAAAGGCAAAGTACTTGCTGAAATGGTAATGTCATTTGTGAGTATTTACACACATTGTTTGAAGAAATATAGCTTTCCCCCCAAAAATAGTAATAATTATCAGTTAGAAATTCATAGAGCACAAACAACAAAAAGAAATGGTTATGATCTTTGTACAAGTGTGTTCTTCAACATTGCATGCTGTATTTCAAGTTTAATATAAACCTGAATAAATCCCATTCACAAGTCYTTCGCAAAAAGCTGTTACAATGTTTTTCCATGCTTTTTTATATGTGGTGCAAGTAGGTACACAATGATATTGACAGAACAGGTTAAGCCTATCTGCAAATGTAATAATACAGGCTCTGTCAAATATAGAAATGGAGAACCCACGTTGATATATACACTAACTAAAAAAATGGTGCAAATTGTTACACTGAAAAAACGTATATTTCCCTTTGATAAATAGGGAAATAAAAGTTTTGATAATCCATATTTTCACACAAGAATAAACTTCTTTATCTTTTCTGAGGTGGRTTTTCACACYTTTCATTGCTCGTCTGTTTTTGGTGGAATAGGTTCTTGTGTCATGGGATACTGTCCAGGAGGTGAAGCATCTTGGCTGTATTGAGGTGGAGGTCCACTAGCAGCAGGAGGAGCTGAATGTGCTGGGTAGGTTTGTTGTGTTTGAATGATAACGGTTCCTGTAGTATTTGGATTTTCAACCACCACTACAGCTGTTTGTTGCTGTGAAAGTAAGATCAAAATTAATACCATAATAATTGATAATAGTCAAGCCTGCAATACACAATATGTATACTAAGCAGTATGTGCTTTATGGTGCTTTCTTATATAAAATGGTGGGAACTAGCAGTAAACTAGTGTGAGCTGCGTTGGTGTTTCTAAAGATGAAACTGTTTTAATTATTGATGTTTGTGAATTRTGATAATCTGGATGATTTGTGCAACTGTTGTTGGTGACTGGTGACAGCTGTTATTACAACATTCCTATCATTTTACTTTTAACTGGCGAGGTTTTGGGAACTTACTGGGCTTGATGAACAGCATACAGAAATGCATCCAATAATGGATCCAGCAAATACAACAATGGTGAGAAGCCCATTGATGAGCAAAAGACACAGGAAAATGGCCTCAATAGCACTGATCCAGGAACAGTCTTCCACTATGAAATAAAGATATTTTAATATTATTAATTATTATTAATTTAAAAATAAATTATCATTGATTTAATGTCAGAGTTGTTTTAGSCAGCCATCAAGTATCAACTGACAACCAGTTGGCTCAGTTGGTACAGCACTGGACTATTGTGTTGTGTACTGAAGCTTTTAAAGTAATTGAGGCCGGGATGCTGTTGGGTTTGTTTCTCCGTCTGCAAATGGTTAGACCAATGATTAAAAAGCTGGGCGTTATACTGGAGGTCCCGTCTCTCTACACTTTTCTCTATACTGCTTTGAGGGGATGTTAGAGAGCCACTTAGGGCATAAAAACACTGGTTGTGACCAGTTTTACTCTCTCTGCCCTTGGGTCTGCAGTTATCGCACSTGAMACCGCAACAAGAATCTTCACAAGAAGGAGTTGGGGTTACATGGATAAAAAGAAGAAGATAATGCCTCACATTCCCACTTTGTTAAACTGTGTGATGTTAAAATTATGTGAGTTTAAGCAGTTATAACACATACATTCCAATGGAACTTTATCATTGCCACAATCACAACGACCCCCTTTGATTTTACACTTGGTTTCAATGATAGCTTTGAGGATCTGCCATATCAGGAAAGCTAATCCAGCAAAAACAGTTGCTACAATGCAGCAAATGGTATCAATGATGCAGGAGACCATGAAGGAGATCATCTAAAAAGTTTAATAAATTAAACTTATCAATCAGTCAATCATTCAACTAATATTATTTTTCATATGGTGCCTATCAAAGGTTTATGCATATGAGAGGTGTCTGCCTATGAAAGCTGTATTCTTATGGAAGGTGTATGTTGTGGAAGTTGCCTTCATATGAGAGGTGTCTGCCTAT